GCCCGGCAGCCCGCCAGTGCGCTCCGCGCGGGGCCTAGGCACCGGCGGCTCCCGAGCGGCTCTACGGGGGCAGACGCAGCTTTCTTCTCTCAGAAAGACAGCAAGGGCCTGGAGCCAGGCCAAGCCGGGCCACACCGGCGCCAACGCCAGCTCCTCTCTCAGGAAACGGCTGGAGCCGGCTGGTTGGCGTGGGCCTTCTAAAGCTTTGGCGGGAAAAACTGAGGCGCGCGGGGCATGCTGGGATCGTGCGCGGCGTACTCCAGGGATGGGGGTGACGCAGAGCTGCCAGGAGCGCGAGGAGCGCGAGGAGCGCGAGGAGCGCGGGGCATGCTGGGTGCACTCAGAGCGGCTGGGGTCGCGGTGCATTCTGGGAGCAGCTCCCCAGAGCCGCCAAGAGGGCGCTGAGGAAAGCCGGCCGACTGGCCGCGAGACTGCGGTCCCGCTGAGGTGGGTCGGGCCTGACCCGGGAGACAACTGCTTGAGGGAGCCAGAGGGAGCGGGCCGGCGCGGGAGGCTGCTGCAGGCCCGGCCGCCCACCCCACCGCTTCCTCACAGTGAGGGGGGAGGTTCGTGCGTCTGCCTCAGGAGGCGACGGCTTTGAAGGCATCGCTTTTACAGTTTTAAAACCATTTTACGAGTAATGCCCCCACCGTTAGGAGCGACCCGGGCAGGGAAGGGGCGGGCAGGACCCCCGCTGCAGGGCCCTGCTCGCCCCGGGCGGGCGGGCGAGTTTGTGGAGGGAGTGAATGGCGAGCAGGATAGCCTGTGCGCCTTGAAGAGCGCTGGTCCTGGCTTTTGAAAAGAATGAAAGGAAAGGATCAAAGATTCATTCTTTCACGAAGGCCTACAGGTTCCAGTTTTAGGGCATCTTATTTAGCTAGTAATCTATAGCATCGCTTTTTGAAAGAATGCATTTAAGCTAAATAAAGACCCCAGAGATGCTTCCACCCAGTTCCGCGCTGTGGGCAAGAAAATGCGGCCCCGCGGGGAGGACACTTGCTGGTGGACCATGGAAGCCATCGGTGGGACCAGCGTGAAATCTGAGCCCCTGACCGTGTTTTTCCCACCAAGGGCCTTCTCGGAGGTGGAGATCAGTGAAGCTCTTTGGGGCTGGAAGTTGCTTAGACGTCAGGTCACTCCAGTGTAGAATTTTGTGGGTACCTGTTGCTCGTTGGAAACACTTATCACCAGGGTAGGCGTGCCGCGGCTGTCCTCTGAACAAGGTTAACAGCTCATCCATGTGTATTATATGTGTCCGGGTTTTGAGCGTTACAATATAGTTCTTACACAATCTCAGAAAAGGAAACAGACTTTTAATTTGTAGGTTTTGCCAATTATGAACTGGAAAAAATAAGGTTTTGATATAATTCTAAATAATAAAATAAATATCTTGCCTATTCCTGAACAGGTCAACGTTGTTTTCGTACAATTTTCTGATCAGTCTTTGAAGATTGACGAGACAAGGGGAGGCCCGCTCACAGGAATTCTTTGGTAACTTTGCTTAAGATTTAAAGGGGAAATGAGGCAGAAAGTAATCTTAGCGAGAAATGTGTTTTAAAAATGAAAGTAAGAAGTCTCTAACTTTCGCCCCTGGTCTTTTGACCTATTTTCATTGAAATATGCAACATTGTACCTCTGGGTCTAAGCCACAGTCAATTCTTTGTTTTATATTTTACCTCATTCATTATAGGTGTTCTTTACTAAAATGCATCAAAGAAGTGAATTTTCAGCAAAATTGTGAAGTAGATTGTATTTGTCTTGGAACTTTGTACTTCATCTTTAAAAAAAATTCACAATAGTGAGCATATAGTAGCAATAGAAGAGAGAAAAGCAGAGAGGAAGAAGGAATGTTTTTATTTTTAACATCAGAAATCATCTTGATTAGGTCTTTTAACACTTTATAGGAGTTTGTGTTAACCATTCTAAGAGTACTTCCATTTTTAAAAGGATTAAGTGATCTTTAATGATGAAAATTTCAAACACTGTGGGACTTGAGTGAGAAAAATGTCAGGGGGCCGGAGGGCATTACCAGCCTTCCTCAAACAGCAGTAGAGAAGTTGAGCTTAAATCTTTTGCTTTACTTTTACGCTGCAGTTTTCTTTTCTGTTATACATAAGATAGACTCCAAAGGTATGCTCTGTGAATTATCAGCTGTAAAATGTGTCCCAAATAGAAGTCTGAAAGCCAGATAATGAGTGGAAAAGGAAACTACATAAAAGTTGAGATCTTAGTAAATGTTTTATTTCATGTGAAATGATGAAAAATATATTTCTCGATTTTGAAGTGCTTTAGAGATAACCTAAAACAGCAGAAGACTTTGCTATACTTTTTGATTTTTAAAAAGTTATTATTGTCATAGGAAAGATTTTGTTTTCTGGAAAACAAAATGAAACTTAAAAACAGCCAGGAACTTTAGAAGTATTTTGTTAAATAAAGACAATATGATAGAAATATATCTAGTACCCAGGACAGAGTAGGCATTTAATACACATTGCTGGGTTTTTGTATTATTTGTACTCAGGTTATTCTATTTGTGGTATACAACTGCAGGTTTAAAATTCTAGATTATATTTTGGGGTAACTAAATTGTTCTAAAATAGATTGTGATGGTGCATAACTCTGTGCATATAATAAAAACCATTTAATTGTACCCTTTAGGTGAATTATATGTTATATGAATTACATCCTAATAAAACTTGTACCCCCAAAAGATTACCTAGCTTATCATTAGAAAACCTCCAAGTTTAAATATCAGTGATATTCAACAGCTGATGTCTGCTAACTTGTTTTTATCATCTTATACCAACACGGGTATCAAATATTCTGTGATGGGTTGGTATTGAAACCCTATTGGTAAAATAGTTTACTAACTTTTTATTGTTTGTTTTAAAGGCCTGATTGCTGAGACATTCATTCAACAGGAAAATATGAATGACTCTAGGCAGCAGTCACTGTTCTTCGTCACACTTCCAGACTTAAGCAAACTCTGTGCGGTCAGGATAATACTGAGTGATGAAGCGGCGGATACTGACATTAGGAGTACCCAACTAAAGATATGCAGGTAAAAAATGCATCTTGTAACTAAGACTTCTAAATTTTTTGAGACCTGTAAGAGCTGTTTTAGTATCTCCTTTAAAGCAATATACTTAATTTACTCAGTCTGTTTATATAATTTTAAAGTAAAGGAATTCAGTTTTGCTCTGACCAGGTGTATTGGATTACATTTAGGGAAGGACTTAAAATACTTGAGATTTGAGAATATCTCAATACTGAGTTTCTACATTTGTGACTTCTTGAGTGATATTTTAATTTAAAAATTTTATAGACATTAGTCTATAAATCAGGATCCCAAAACATAAATATTTACTGAGTACCTACTATTTATGAAGCACTTTACAAGATACTGTAAACATTTTAGATTTGTATTATTTTTAAATTTTCAGGTCAATGTAGGAGTATTTCTAAAGAGTATTTCTCCAAGAACTGTCTTGAAATATCTGAGCCAAGATAGTCTTTGAAAAACAGCTTAGTTGCAGCCTGAAGTACAACTCCATGATTACTGAGGACCCACCGTGTATTCATCTCTTAATTTGTTTGAGGCACTCAAAGAAGGACTCTTAGAACACATAACAAGGTTATATCTGTAACTGAATTTCTTGGAGAGGAACAAACATTTATAAGATTACTAGGGGCCAGAAATAAGAAAGATACTCTTGCCATTCCTCCATTTTTTTCTTATTTACAAACATTTTCTTCTCCTCACTGTGTATTTTCCCACTCAAGTGCATAC